CGATATCACTAAGTGGATGGCTTTAAAGAACTAAATGTATCCTCTTCCAGCTTAGGAGAATTGTTGTTGTTGTTGTTAGTGCCATCGAGTTGAGAATGACTCACGGGGACTCTATGAACAGCAGATCTGAACTCTGTCCTATCCTGTGCCATCCTCACAATCTCCCTGTGCCATCGTCACCATCTCTGATACACTCAAGCCCAGTGCTGTAGTCACTGTATCAACCCACCTGGTTCAGGATCTTCTTTTCTCTAACCATCCTCCCACCTTTCCAAATACGATGTCCCTCTTTAAGAAACAGCCTCTTCCAGCAGCATGCCCAAAGGATGTGAGATGAAGCTCTGTCACCCTTGCCTCCAAGGAGCGCTCTGACTGCACCTTCTTCAAGACGTATATGTGCAGTCCATGGGATAGTCAGTCCTCTTCTGCAGCACCTCAGTTCAAAGGCATCAAGTCTTCTGTCATCCTTAATTCATTGTCCAGTTCGCACGGGAAGTGATGGAAAAGACCATGGCCCGAATTAGACACAACCTTAGTCCTCAAACCAACCACATTCATTACTCCTCAATAATTTGGAGAGGTTCCTGACTGCAGACTTTCCCAATAAAATATGTCTCCTGATTTCCTGACTGCTGGTATCAAGTGTATTTATTTGGTGGGGACACATAGGAATTCAGGGTGCTCTAGAGGGAAGCTTTCTGTGTTTCTTCATTGTAGGAGTTTCAGGGGCAGCAGCCTGGATGTCCTCCACTGGTGCCTCTTTCTTCATTCTTTGTATTCCTAGAATCCTTCTCACCTTCCCTTCCTTTTATTTTCTGTGAGATCCAAGGTGTTCCGGGTCACCTTCCATCAGATCAGGGCTGTGATGGGACTGAGGATGCTACTTCCCACCTTTAACCCTCTTACATCAGTTTGGTTTATCAGATCTTCACGTAACCTTCACATGACTTCACCACCTGTGTTGTGTTTTGAATCCACGACAAATTGTATTCACTTTTGGTATTTTAAAAATAACTTCGAAGATGCTAAATTGCATTCAGACAATTTAGTACACAATTACAATATTTATAACTGTGATTATTGTAAGAAAGAAAAATATCTGTATCTTCGCTTCAAATTTACTCCCACTGCTGTTGAGTTAGAATCGACTCACAGTAGATGGTCCAGCAGGATTGTTTTGGTTTTTTTTTTTAAATAATTTTAATGAACATTTACAGAGAATTTGGATTTCCATTCATTCATTGCTGCACTCAGCAGGGTTTTTTGAAAGCTGTAAATCACACAGAAGGAAACTGACCATCTTTCTCCATTGAAGCTACTAGTGGATTTGAACAGCCAGAGTGGTGCAGCCTTTAGGTTTGCAGTGCAGCTCTCTGCCTACTAGGTAAGGGCCGTTTCCTGAAAATTACTAAGAGAAACGCCCTTGTCGAGGGGGCTTGGTGGACTGTGACAGTAAGGATATGTCGAGGGGGCTTGGTAGACTGTGGTAAGGAGATGTCGAGGGGGCTTGGTGGCCCCATGGGAGGAGATGTCAAGGGGGCTTGTGGTGGCCCTGTGGTAAGGAGCTGAGCTGCCAACCCGAAGTCACTCACCTGATGCGAATCCACCAGCTGCTCTGCAGAAGGATGGGCAGTCTCCTCCCATGCGATTTACCTTCTGAAAACTCCGTAAACCTGCTGGAGGACCAGCTCTAAGTCCATGTCAATTCACCAGCACAGGACAGCAACACTATTTATTTCCTCCTTTTCACTGTCCTCTCCTGCCCTTCCCATCCCTGCTAACCATCTGAAACCGAGCCTCTGTATGCATACACCCTTCTGCAGCTTTCTGTAACAGTGGCTTATACAGCCTTTGTCCCTTTGTGTCAGGCTTATGTAGCCCAGTGCAATGTCCTCTGAATCCATCCACATATGAAGCATTTTGAGAATTCTTTGTTTTCCAATGCTGCATTGTACTCCATTGTGTGAATGTATCATCATTTCCATATCCATTCATCTGCTGATAGGCTCTTGGGCTGTTTCCATCTCTTTGCTATTGTAAATGCTTCCAAGAACATACTCATTATGGTGGGCAACGCATCTTTCTCCTGTGGACATGAACATGCACATATCTGTTCCTGTCAGAGGTCTATGTCTTTAGGATATATACCTGGTGATCAAATTATTGCAAAAGTTGGTAGAATGTCTCAATTTTCTTATCTTTGGCTTTACTTGTTGGTGCATTTACTTAAGTAATATTTGTGTGAACAGTTCTTATTATATGTGCATGGATATAGTTAGTATCTATCACTCACAGGATTGCACCTCAAGACAGATCTCTAAATAGTCTTTATTACTAAGTATGGAACACTATTCTTGCTCATTTTTTCTTCTAGGCGTTAAGACCAGATGATCATCTGATTCTCCTCATCTGAGCTCCTTAATGCCTAGCCTGTCAGTCACCATGCATCGGGTTTCCTGTTGGGCATTTCTTGTTTTCTTAGACACACAGCCGGTACACTCCACACTGCAATTACTATTGAATGTTTACAACTCTTTCTCCTCATTTTGAATTACTTCCAATCTGGGTTCGACCTCCAGTACACTATCTAACCACGGTCCTCTGTTGTTCAGAGTTTTCAAAGGCCTGTTATTTCTGACATGGATGGCTAAGCCCACCTTCTAGTCTTAGTGGCAACAGTGCTAGTTTTAAGAGCCACCTGATCCAAGCCACGGTTTTTTCAATAACTTGCTAAGCATCTGAAAGTTGGACAATGACTAAGTATGACAGAGGAAGAATGCGTTTGAGTAGGAGTAGCGGCTTTGGGAAAGAGTACTGAATATCCCATAGACTGCCAAGTGAACAAAAAAGTATGTTTTGGAGAAAGTGTAACGAGGGAGGTTAGGATGCTGAAACTTCTTCTCATATGTCTTGGAGAAGGACATCATCCTTGGAAAGATGGGCAGTCAGTGAAAGAGAGGAAGACCCTTAGGGAGGTGGATAGCCAGAGTGACTGTTACAACCGCTCAAGTCTGTCAGAGATGATGAGAACTCCCAGGACAGGGTAAGGTGCAGGTCTGTCGTTCACAGCGTCCCTAACGGTGTCACTCGAGGGCACTAATGAGAACAACACCAGTCGGACTACTGGAGCTAAGGGTTTCTCTGAAATGCCCAATGTCTGGTCCACTCAGCACCTCTTCTTCCTTTGCCAGGTGCATGGTCGCGGCTCACCACCAGGCGGCACCCTCGATCCGATGCCCGCCTACCTGGGGACGTGGCTCCACAGGTCCTCGGGCTGCTCGGTCCAGGTGCGGCAGGGGCGCCGCCCAGGTGCGGCCCATGAGCGCCAGGGACTCTGTCCAGGAGCAGCCGCCGAGGAAGGGGACATCGGAAAGAGGGACGAAGGGGAGAGGGACAGAGGGCAAGGAGGAGAAGAGGAGGGACAGAGGACGGGACCTCTGCAGGTCCTCACCTCCCACCAAACCGGCTGCCCGCCACGCCCAGCCGAGAGGAGCGGACCCGAGAAACGGGCCGGGCCGGGATGGGAGGGGGGGCGTGAGGCAGGCCCCGCCCAGGTGGGTGGACCCGAGAAAGGGGTGGGGAGAGAGATGGACAGGGAGCAGGCCCCTCCCAGATGGGTGGGCACAGGAGGGAGGGGCGGGGCTGGAGGCGGACACGGAGAAGGCCCCGCCCAGGTGGTTGGACCCGAGAACGGGGCGGGGCGGGAGAGGGACAGGAGCCTGGCTTCGCCCGGGCTGGTGGACCCAGCCGGGAGGTGGACACCGGAAAGGCCCTGCCCAGGCGGGTGGCCCCGGGAATGGGGCGGGGCAGGAGGTGGACTCGGAGCCGAGGCCATGCCCAGGTGGGTGGTCAGGCCCGGAGGCGGGCCGCAGGGGTCTGGCACGCGGCCACCTGACAGTCCCAGTTTCCTGCCCGGCCTCTCCCGTCTCGGAAGCCCCGCTGACCGGCTCGTGTCAGGTGAGTGTGGGCTGATAGCGTCGGTGAGACTGGCTGAGGACAAGGCCATGGGACCTGACTCACTTCCCAGCAAGCAGAGCAGGAAACTCCTGAAGAGGCAGGTTGGGAAATGACTCTGGACTGGCCAGGAAGCGGGGAAACCGAGGCAGGGAGGAGGAAGGAGGCAGACAGGGCGTGCGATCGGGGCGTCAGCCACTGAGGTCTCGGGGTCCACTTCTCTAGGGACCCCAGGCTCTTGGCTGCCACCCCCAGACACCGCTAGCTTCTCTCATGGTGGGGACCGCTCAGACCTGGAGGTTGAGGTGGGCAGGAGTCCCACACCAGGGCCTTGGGCTGGGGCAGGAGGACGTGTCGCCTCCTGCGTGGTCCCTGTAACGCGGGGACACTGGGAGGGCAGTGAAGGGACAGGCGCTTTCTCCTCAGGCCCCAAGCAGTAGTTGATGCTCCTATCTGAGACTTCCTGGGCCACAGCAGAGGAGAGAGGCCAAGCCAGGCATTCACAGTGAGAGGTGCTTTGGCCGAGTAGAGAGACTCCAGGGGTGCGCCAAGGGGGTTTGGTCAGCAGCTCCCCAGCAGAAATAGACCAGGTTGTTTCTGTCCATCCCTGACCTTTCGGAGGCCTATGGGCCCCCCACCCAGGGCCCACAACCTGTCACGCTTCCATTCTGCGTCCCCCGCCCTCACCCACATTTTCTTTCACAATTCTTGCCTCTGTGTCTACATAAGCCCCTCTCCTTCCAGAAAGGCTGTTCTCCCAGCACCTGGCTTCACTCCACCAGACTTCCCCATCACCCAGCCCGCAGCAGCTCAGCCACACTGTCTCCTGGTAGCACTGATTGCACGCTGAGTATGGTTGTCTGCTTACCTGCTGGATTTCATCATCTTTCTTCTGAAGTTTCAGGTTTCTAAGAACCAGGCCCTTGTCTGCTACCTCCCCAGGCTGAAACAGGCTTTTCTGAGTGAATGCGTGAGGCTGTTCATGTTCTTGCCTTTTTCTGTTACCACCATGATGTGTCTCTGCTTCCCTCTGCAGAAACCACAGAGACATGGCAACTCCTAGTGCTGCCTTCAAGGCCCTCATGAACGGGGTGACAAGCTGGCATGTCCCTGAAGATGCGGTCCCCTGCGAACTGCTTCTGGTTGGAGACTCTGCCTTCCCAGTGATGGTCAACGACAAGGGCCAGGTCCTCATCGCTGCCTCTTCCTATGGCCATGGCCGCCTGGTGGTGGTGGCCCACGAGGGCTACCTGACGGATGCTGGGTTTGCTGCATTCCTTGTCAACGCCGTGCACTGGCTCTGCCTCACCCCTGGGACTCCTGTTGGTGTGCATCCGTCCCTGGGGCCCCTACTCAGCATCCTTCAGGAATCTGGGCTCCACGCCCAGGTTGAGGAGCAACCAAGAGAGCCCTTGGGGGCTTACTGCATCAGTGCCTACCACGGCACCATGGCGGAGCAGCTGGTCCAGTTTGTGAAGCGTGGAGGGGGCCTGCTCATCGGGGGCCAAGCCTGGCACTGGGCCAGCCAGCATGGCCGTGACAAGGTGCTGTCTGAGTTCCCTGGGAACCAGGTGACCAGTGTGGCCGGAGTGTACTTCACTGACACCTATGGGGACAAACAGTGGTTCAAAGTGTCGAGGCGGGTGCCCAAGATCCCGCTTCAGGTCAGGTGAGTGATGTTCCCCATGTGACTCATATTTCAATAGATGTGAAACGGCTTCTTCCGTGAAAAGGCCCCTGAGGACAAGCAGATTCCAGTTGGACTGTTAACCAAAAGATCGGTGGTTTGAATACACCAGTTGCTGTGTAGAAGAAGGAGAACACATTTTGTTTCAGGAAAGGTTTCCAGCCTTGGAACCACAATGCAGCAGTTCTCCTGTCTGTGGGTTCACTGTGAGTAGAACTCAGTTCAAGGACAGAATTTTCTTGAGTCTTCAGTGAGCTTCCACATGAATACGAGTGATTTCCGCTCAGTGCTGCAATCAGCACGGACTAAGCCAGCATAGCTCAAATGCACTGGCATACATGAGGCCCTGACCTCACCACAGCCTTCTCCTATGGCCACAGCAAACTTCAGGTCAGTTGTTGTTGTTGTTGTTGATTGCTGTCAAGTTGAGTGACAGAGCAAACACGCAGCCTGTCCTGGGCCCTCTTCGTGGTGACTGGGCTTTGTGTCCATTGCTGTGGCTAGGGTGCCAGTCCACTCCAATGAGGGTTTACCTCGTCTTCACTGGCCCTCCACTTGACCAGCCCCGATTTCCTGCTCTAACTCCTGAGCTTCCCTGATAACATGTCCACAGGCTTGTCATCCTTTCATCTAAGTGGCGTTCTGGCTGTCCTTGCAGTAAGGCCGCTTTCTGGAGTCCATGGCATAATCAGTGCTTCTCATCAGCACCACAGTTCTGTGCGTCTGTATTTCTTTGGTCTTCCCTTTCCCACTGCGCAGTGTCCTCACCCACGTGTAAACTCCGCCTAGACCCATTGCCGTTGACGTGGAACCGACTCATTTACAGCTGACCCTTCAACAGGTTTTCAGAGGCTGTAATCCGTACCAGAGGAGGCTGCCCGTCTCTCTTCTGTGGAGCCGAGGTGGATTCGAACTGTGTTAGATGCTGCCTTTGGCTTAGAGGCCAACTCCCTGCGGAGTAAGCCACACGAGTCTCCCATGCATAGGAGGTGACTGAAAATCCAGGGCCTGAGTCAGGCACATGTTGGTCAACAAGGGGACATCTTTGCTTTGACACCCTTTCAGAAGGGTCATTTGTAGATGTGCCTAGTGTAGTGTGTCCTCTGCTTTCTTGACTGCCGCTTCCCTGGGCATTGACTGCTTATCCAAGTAGAAGCAGCCTCTGTCTGTGGTCTCTGGGACTTAGACAGGACTTATCAATATCTCCTGAAGAATAAAATTGTGCCTGATAATCTGTGAGCACTTGCCTGTACCAGACCCACTGGGGCACCGAGCAGCACACAACAGGGAGTAAAGAGGCTGAGTGCTGATCTCAGGAACCATGGATTCTGGTGCAGGTGAGGTCAGTGGAGGAGACACACACTCCCCAGATGGGGGACTGATGAGTGCAGAGAGGAAAAGCAAAGCTGGACGAAGGAGGGAGCGGTGTTCACAGAGGGTCCTGGGGAGAAGACCCCGAGGGTGGGTCAGGATCAGTGGGCAGGTGATTGGCTTCACCCTCTGTGGTTCTCTTCTGTGCAGTCACTGTCAACACCAAAAAAGCAAATTCACAACCTCTTGTATTTGTGTGGGCAGAATTAGAGCAAGTGGCCAGACCAAAGGCAAATGCACCTGTCCCTCGGAGGGAGAAAGGTGAACAATCTCCAGTATGGCTTAGAGCCTCAGGAAGCCGACCCACTGGAGGGTCAGCTGTGAGTTGGTCCCAAGTCCATGGCAAGGAGGTTGGAGGGGGAAAAAGCGGCCAATCCTGGCTTCCAGGGAGCCTGAGGTACGCAGGCCTGGCTGAAGTTAGCAGAAAGTAGTAGAGAGGAAAGAGGGGACAGAGAGCTTGAGGCAGCCTTGTCCTGCCCTGGTCCCACAGCCCTGAGCTGGGCACGTCCCACCCAAGGGCGTGGCAGAGAGCTGGTTTGCAGAGACCTTACAGTGCTCCTGCTTCATGCTAGCTCGACTTTGCTTTTACTGCTAAGAGACAAGCAGCTCAAATCCCATCAGCTTCATTCCTCTTACTTGTAGGAGGCTGCTCTTCCCGTCAAACCAGCCTGCTTTCCTTCCCAAACACTTGGCACTTCTCATCTCCACTGCTGGATCTGGAGTCTGTTTTGCATTTGATTTTTTCACTTTTATTTATGTAAAATTTTAGATATATGCAGAGTAGAGTGACTAGTGAGATGAATCTTCTGGAGTCCTTTACCCAAGCTCCTAACAGTTCAGCCAGGCTCATTTGCACGACCCAATTATGCAAAACACAGCCTTAGTATCACTTCAACTCAGTATTTCCATGTCTGTCTGTAGAAGGAGGGACCCTTAAGAGCGTAACCACAGGATGCCGTTATCACACCCAAAAGAAAAAAGTCCTCAACATCATCAATTGAGTGCACTTGCCTTTTAATTTCTTTTCCAAATTGGTAGGTATTGTTGAAATAAGGCCAAATATTTTTCTTATTTGAGGGTTTTTCAATGATCAGAAATCATAATCTCTGTTCAACCAGAGCAGCCGCCACGTCCACATTCCTGTGACCACAGTCTTCTCTGGTAACATTTGAGTTTATTTCCATCTCTTAAGTCCTGTAGTTTGTTGGGAAAACCAGGTCCCTTGTCCTGTAAACTTTCTTTCCGTCTGAATTTTATGTGCTCATGTGATGCTGTTTACATGTTCTTTTGTTCCCTGTAGGTCTTTGTAAATGGAAACCTAGGCATTCTAGGGTCCAGCCCATTGCCTTCTGGTCATTTTCAACTCTAAACAACCTTGTAAGAGGAGAGCTGTCCCGCGGGGTTTCCCAGGCTGTAAATCTGCATGCGGAGGGAGTGCCACATGTTTCTGCCAGGAGCACTTGATGGGCTCAGTCTGCCCCCATGGTGGTTGGCAGCCCAAAGATTCTGGAGTTGTTGTTAAGTGTCATAGAATCAAGTACGACTCATGGTGACCCGAGGGACAACAGATCTGACCCCGGTCCTGTCCTGTGCCATCCTCAGCATCTCTGACACACTTGAGCCCATTGCTGACGTCACTGTGTCAGGCTACCTCGTTGAGGGTCGTCCCCTCTTTTCCCGACCCTCCACCTTTCTAAGCATGCTGTCCTTTTCCGAGGAATAGCCTCTCCTAACAAAATGTCCAAAGTATGTGGGACCAAGCTTCATCATCTTTACCTCCAGGCAGCAGTCTGGCTACTCGTCTCCGTAACGCCCCTGTCTGTTCTTCTGGGAGCCCACTGGACCCTCAGCACTCCTCTCCAGCACCACAACTCTACGGCATTGAGCTTTCTTCTGTCACCCTTGTTTGTTGTCCAGCTTTCAGGTTCATAGCAGGTAATTGAAGAGATCATGATTTGAATCAGGCACACCTCAGTATTTAAGATGACATCATTGCTTTTCCATACTTTGGAGAAGTCCCTGAGAGCAGACTTAGCCAGCGCAATACTTTTTGATTTCTTTTTTTAATACTTTTGATTTTTTTATAATACTTTTTTTAAATACTTTTGATTTCTTTTTTAATTTTAATTGTGATTTTATTGAAAGTTTTACAGAAAAGTTAGATATTCATACATTGTTGCACATTTTACCCCCCCTCTCTCCCTTCCCCCTCCCCCCAATTCACCTTTTTTTTTATATTCATTCATTGTTGCACAATTACATTCCTGCCCCCACCCCAGTCCTCTTTGCAATATATCACTTATTCTGGGTCGTTCTCATATGTATAATGTCTAATCACATATTCCTTTTAAACAGTTCTTTCTTTCATCTGTTCCAATGCTGTGTTCATTATCTATCCACTCTGATCCTGTTGACCTCCCAAACCCCCATGTCAGACCTGCTTTATAACAGTGGTGCTATGCAGTATTTGTCCTTTTGTGACAGAAATATTTCACTCAGCATAATGTCCTGCAGAGCCACCCATCTTGTGTAATGTTTTATGAGCTCACTGTTTTCAGTGCTGTGTAGTTTTCCATTGTTTGAATATACTAAAGTTTTTCTATCCATTCATTTGTTGATGAGCACTTGGGTTGTTTCCATCTTTTTACCATTTTAAAGAACACAGCAATAGATGTGGGTATGCATATATCTGTTTGGGTGGCAGCTCTGGTTTCTTTAGGGTATATTCCCAGTAGTGGAACTTCTGGATCAAATGGTATTTCTATTTTCAATTTCTTGAGAAAGTGCCAAACTACTTTCCATCATGGTTAGAGCATTCTGCACTCCCACCAGCAGTGAATAAAGGTTCCAGTCTCTCCACAACCTCACCAGCATTTTTTTTTTTGTTTGCTTCTCTGTTGGACTTTGCTATTGTTACTGGGGTGAGATAATATCTCATAATTGTTTTTATTTGTGTCTCTCTGATACCTGGGCATTTTGAATATTGCTTTGATTTCTTGACTGCTGGAACCTATGATACTGATTGTGGATCCAAGGAAGATGAAATCATTGGCAACTTCAACCTTTTTTCCATCTGTCATGATGTTGCCTACTGATAAGTGGCACCAGAATAGGGACTAGCAAATTTGACCAGCAGGGCAACCACCCATCTTTGTAAATAATGTTTTATTGAAGCATGATCTTTCATTTCTGTATTGTCTATGTTTGCTTCCACACTGTGGCAGCTGAAATGAACAGTTTTGACAGAGACAATATATGGCTTACAAGCTAAAGCTCTGTCTTCCCAGCCATTGACCTAGAGGTTTGATCACATTCAGGTTTGATTTCCAGGTGCTGGCATGCATGTCCATGAGTATAGACTGTCCATTCTCGCTGACTAAAGTGTTAGCAGTCAGTAATCAGCATTGACGAGCTCGCCCTGGTTAGCTCGTTGTTGTCCTGGGGTCGGTCGGACTGGCTCTAACTCAGTACTGACAGCCCCTAACTGATCCGGCACCATCCACTCTCTCTGCAGTGCTGACACCTTGTCACTCTGTCAGTCCATCTGCTTGATGGTCTTCCCCCTTTTGGCTGACCCTTTACTTCCTCAGGAGCCCTGGTGGCATGGTCCC